TTTGTGGGGTATAATGATGAACCAAAAAGTTAATGGATCTCGTGTTTTTGAGTATCGCCGTCTTTGTGAAATAATTTTCGGTTCCATCTGAAGTTTGGAGTGAAAAGAAAAAATTCTTTTAGAAAAGAAATGCGTTCATTTCATCATTACGTCCAGCCACGTATGTTTATAATGCACTGTATCTGCCTAGAAAAACTTAACATGTAAAACGCTAATCATTGCTTAAGGCCAACAACTGAATTTTTATTTTTAGTACCAGACACGTAAATATTATTACAAAAAAACATTCACACGCATGGAATCTAACCAGTGTAAAATGGTTAAATGATTTCTTCCTTCTCAAATGAATTTTCGTCAGAAATATTAGTTAAGGGTGTCTCTTTGAGAGTGTTAAAACTCGTTTTGAATTTTAGGTTTTCACAGAGAAGTTAAAATTTGCGGATATTTCAGTATACGAGAGTCGGCTGAAAGATTTATACCCTGACCAAGATACTCTGACTCAATGTAACCAAATGAATTTTATTTTTCAACATAATTCCACCTTGCGGTTAGCACACTTCCATCAGTGTTACAGTACGATATTGAAGAAACTTCCATTCTATTGGCAAAAAAAAATGTCATCAACAGCAGATATGACATCACCAGTCCTGTGATAGTAGTTACCAGTTAAGTGCTTCTTCATGTCGGGTATTAAATGACTGTTAGACGGAACCAAATCAGGATAATAGGGAGAGTGATCAACCAGATGAAAACAACAGTCATGCAGCTATTGAATCTAAGAACTTGTGTGCTGGTGTCCTGATGAAATAAGGTCTCATTTGTTCTTCTTTCGTAACTACCTCAATACGTCGGTATAGTACACTCCATTGACAGCATGTACCTTTTAATAATAGTTAATAACCAATACCTTTTGCATCTCAAAAGATTGAAGCCACCTCCTTCTCTGCAGGTGAAACGACCTTATAGAAATGCAGGTAAAGATGGGTAATTACACTGCATATATTCTCCCTTTCTCTCTTGTTCAAAGTGATGCACCCAACGCCCATATTGGGTTAGGAACCATTCAGGGAAAACTAGGTGGATCTACCTCAATCAATGTCAGATTTTTCCGTGAGTCTAGTCAGATGTCAGAAGACCTTGCACCCACCAAACAGAAACATTCATTAAGCCAAGTTTATTGCGCAGAATATTCTCAACTCTCTCATTTAATAGCATACAATTTATTTTAAAATCTATAGTCAATCGTCTGTCCTCGATCAACATGTGGTGAACACGATCAAGGTTGTTCTCGGTGGTAGCTGTTGCAGGACATCCAGACCTTGGGTCATCTTCAAGATAGTCTCTTCTCCTCTTCAGCTGACAATTGTTGGTAAAGCTGGAGCTCCATCCCCTAATATAACAACAGAGTTATGATGGATGTCCTTGGTGGCTAAACCCTTTTTACTCCCGTCCTGGGTATGACGATAAACTACATCCGCGTCCTGGGTAAGACAATAAACTATGTCCAACAGCAAGGCCTCTGATGTTTTGAGGAGCGTGGAACCACCTCTTAATTGCTGGTGTTCCTGACCAAGGGTGGTAGCACCTGTTAGGGTCGCAACTATGGGAAAATAGTTAACCTCCAAACTGGGGTCAAACAGTATGAAAATGTAAAAACAGGTTTTAACACCAGAAATACATTGTAAAAAAATTATTACTAGCAATACATTTTTGAAAAATATATTACAACGATATATTATTGAAGAACAAATATTATCGACAATACATTTTTGAAGGAAAAATATTACCAGCAATTTTAAAAGGAAACTATTACCAGCAACAAAAATTGTCGGCATCAAATAACCCATCGTAAAAAAAAAACAAACCAAAACCAAACCTTTTCTGCGTGTACTTGATAACAGCATGATGCCAAATGTTGTTTATTTTCAAGAGAAGTTGCTGATTTGAAATCTTTGAACAGTTAGATGTCAGTTTACCTGCAAAGAAACAATGCAATCAGTAATAAGAAAAAAATGAAATTAATGCATGCAAGATTTCACTGCTCAAGCATCACCCTTTCTTAGCCAACTTAACTTTTCAGCCCACCCTCATAATGTATTAGAATGTGATATCTAAGGCTGAACAAAATCCAATTTTCTCTTAATATTTATATAAGAATATTTTACAGATATTTTCTTAGCTTACATTATAATAATTTCTTGAGTCATCGAAAGCTCTCTCCTAAAAATGCCAATTCAAAAGCGTGAAGTAAAGAAAAAATCAGGTTTTAAAATAATCATAAATGCTTCTTTATGTATATTATTCCATTGAAGCAATTCTAATATCTAAATTTATTTATCCTCAAGACATATGTTCGTGACAAAATCTGTCAAGAATTATTTTTATGGCTATGATCTTTAAACTGAATTATCAAATCTGATTTCCGATTCACTTATTTATGTCATTAATATTTTCCTACCTTCGGGACTGTAAGAAGGCGAGATATAAAAATATTCTCCCCTAAATATATTGCATAGATTTACTTTTGTACTGTCGAGAGGTAGGCCCTTCTCATGCTTTTGGAAATTAAAAAAAAATGAATGTCAAGCAAATAAAAGTGGAACAATTTGAAAAATAAAAAAAAGGTAGGAAATCTTTATACCTTCAACTTTTCTGCGTTTGCTCATATGGGTAATTTATGGTAATTCGACCAAAATTTGATTTCTTTAGAAAAGCCGAATCGGCGAACGATCACTTCGTCAATACATCAGCAAGTTTTCATACAAGGCTGTTCAGAGTACACTGTTATACTGTAGATAGAAAAGAACCTTGAGAAAATCCCGATCATCGTCGCCATCTTCTTTTTCTTCTTTGATTTCTGTTGTATACGTACACATTTGGGGTTCCAACCAGAGACCTAAGGTCAGAAATGACTTTTCCACTTATCATTTGTGTAAAAAAAAAAAAAAAAAAAAAAAAAAACACTAAGATAAAGAGCATTGCAATTTGAGCTGTACTTATGAATACACTTTTTTGTATTTCCTTAGGGCACAAGCTATCAATAATCACTTCAATATGTCTATCGGAACCGTTTCCAATCAATCTGAAGGTTCCAACTACAACTGGAATTATGGGTCTCCTCCTGTGCCACATTTTTTTTAGATTTCCACTTCAAGATCTCTTGAAGGTCTTCAAAAATAGTGATTTTCCAAGCGTAGCTTAGATGTGGCACAAGGCCGAATGTAAGGGGCACCCAGTGAAGATCGAACTCACTACTCGTAATTTTATTAGCGAGACAAGCTTGCTAACCATTACACTGTTTCGAGGTGCCCAAATAGTGATGTTCTAAGCGAAGCTTTGATGCGGCACAAGGCCGAAACTATGAGGGCAGCAAGTGAGGATTGAACTCACTACTCAGTCGTAATTGTTCTAGTGAAACAAGATTGCTAACCACTACATCGCCTCGGGCTGCCCCAAAATGATTTTCTAAGCGTAGCTTAGGTGTGGCACACGGCCGAGAGAGTGGAGCACCCAGTGAGAATCGAACTCACTATTCAGTCGTAACTGTTTTAGCGAGACAAGCTTGCTAACCATTACACCGCGTCGAGGCGCCCATAATGATTTTCCAAGCGTAGCTTAGATGTGGCACAAGGCTGAAAGTATGGGGCACCCAGTGAAGTTCGAAATCACTACTCAGTCGTAATTGTTCTAGCAAGATAAGCTTGCTAACAATTACACCGCCTCGAGGCGCTCAAAATGATTTTCTAAGCGTAGCTTAGATGCGGCACAAGGTATGGGGTACCCAGTGAGGATCGAACTAACTATTCAGTCGTAACTGTTTTAGCGAGACAAGCCTGCAAACCATTACACCACGCCGAGGTACCTAAAGATCTTCAAAGATATATTACAATCTATAGGGACTGCCATGTCAATAAGAAAGCACATTCTGTTTATTATTATTATTATTATTGATGTTGTTATTGTTGCTGTTGTTACTGTTGCTGTTGTCCTTGTCCTTCTTTCTCCTTCATATAATTATTTTATTGTACTTTTTCTTCTTATTATTCTTACTATTATTAAGGTTTTTCTCCTCTTTCTTCTTTCGCTTCTCTAAGTCAAATGCTGATATGTTAAGTTATTGCTTAATTTTTTTGTCTTTAGATAAAAATCTTGAAAATTTACATGTCGGTCTTCTTCAAATGTTGTCGGGTTATGGTGTTTCTGTCCGAATGTTTCTATGTATAGTATTTTTTAAGATCTATGCAAAATGCCCTTCAATCTGTTGTTAACTGGGGCAAGAAATGGCTTGTTAATTATAACGCGTCCAAAGCAAATATGCACTTGTAAATCATCTTGGAGAAGCATTTTTTATTTCCCTCAGAACGGCTGATTCTAACCTCCAGAAGAGTGACTCATTGAGCATTCTCGCGCTTTTTTTTCTGCTAACATGAAGTGGAACGATACTATTGAATCCCTTACTAGGTTTGTTGTAAGGAAGGTTGGTTCGCTGTTTTGTTTTAGATAATTTTTCTCGACAGAATCTGTGTTAAACATTAAGTCTACCATTCATTCATTCATGCATCGAATATAGCTGCCATATTTGGTCTGGTGTTTCTGCTAAGTATCTAGAGATTCTTGAGAAAATTCACAGAAGAATCTGCAATATTATCCGACCCGACCTAGTATCTCACCTTTTCCCACAACTGTGACTTAGCTTCTCTGTGTCTATAAATATTTTCATGGTAATTGTTTTGATGAACTTTCCGCTTTGCTACTTCGACTTTACGAATTTAAGTTCAGTAATAGATTGGCAGTTAGTTTCTTCTCTCGTAATTTTCGCTTGTGGAACTCTATTCCTGGTTGCTTTCCAATCAACTTTGATTTTTTTAAATTTAAATCGTCATATTTTCTATTCTTGTATCCTGTCCTGTTGTTGTCCTCTCTCCGGAATAATGTTTTTTTTTCTTTTCAGACACTTTCACTCCTTGCATCATTTAAATTAACCGCCTTGATTGGGGTAGAGCGATTAAAAAAGTCCTCTTTTTCTTCATCTTCTTTTTTCTTCTTCTTCTTCCTCTTCTTCTTCTTCTTCTTCTTCTTCTTCTTCTTCTTCTTCTTCTTCTTCTTCTTCAGTGTCCTCCTTTCTTCTTCCTTCTCCTCCTACTCATCTTCTTCTTCTTCTTCATCGTCGTCGTCGTCGTCTTCTTCTTCCTCTTCTTCTTCCTCCTCATCCTTCTCCTCTTCATCCTCCTCTTCTTCGTCATCCTCATATTCTCCTTCGTCCTCCTCCATTTCTTCTTCTTCCTTCTCCTCCTCCGACTCTTCTCCCTCCTCTTCCTCATCCTGCTCCTTCTCTTTTTCTTCTTCCTCCTCTTTATCCTTCTCCTCTTTTTCGTCGTCCTCCTCTTTTTCTTCTTCCTCCGCCTCTTCTTCTTTTTCCACTTCTTCATGATCCTCCTTTTCTTCTTCTTCTTCCTCCTCTCTTTCTTCTCCTCCTCTTCTTCTTCGTCGTCCTCCTTTTCTTCTTCTTTCTCCTCCTCCTCCTCCTCCTCTTCAGCCTCTACTTCTTCCTCCTTCTCGCCCTCTTCTTCCTCCATCTCTTTTTTTTCCTCCTCCTCATCTTTTCTTCTTTTCCTTCTTCTTCTTTAA